TTCTCTACCCTTGCTCAAATGTGCCAACCACCAAGTGTATCACCTTGTGCACGTGTGTTTGCATATTTTCACAAACATTTTCAAGGGTGTTAGCACTCCACTAGATCTAAATGCATATGCAATGAGTTAGAGCATCTAGTGGCACTTTGATAACCGTATTTCGATATGAGTTTCACCCCTCTTAAGAGTACAGCTATCAATCCTAAATGTGATCACACTCACTAAATGTCTCGATCACCAAAACACAAAAGCTCCTATCAAGTTTCACCTTTGCCTTGAGCTTTTTGTTTTTCTCTTTCTTCTTTTAAAAGTCGAGCACTTGATCACCATGGCCACTCCATCATCACCATGATCTTCATTGTTTGCTCTACCACTTGAAATAATGCTACATATCTCATAATCTCTAAAGGAATATGTTAGCACTTAGGGTTTCATCAATTCACCAAAACTAAACTAGAGCTTTCACCCGAGGAGGACGATGGTGGTCCTCCTGTTGCTCCTCCGTGCCACCGCCTCATCGTCGCACCTCCACACCTGGGTCGCACGCGCCCGGCCCTACCACAGCGTCGCAGCTAGAGCCAGTCGTGCCCTCACGACCCCTGTTCATGCGCTGTACCCATGGACGCCCTACACGGTCCGCTCCTATTCATCGAGCACCGCAACCAGAACAGGCTCCTCACCGCGCGTCGCAGCCATGGCGTCCTCACCGCGTGCGCTGCTAGAGCACGCCATGGACACCAGCTTGCTCCTCACCGCGCGCCCCACCCGCCATGGACGCTAGCTCGGCGCAGCGACGCTCCGCTAACACCGGCACGGGCACCAGCCCCGCCCACCACCACCAGACCCGACACTCGCGTCCTCAGCTTGGGTCCCCGATGCTCGTGTCCTCGGCCATGGGCGGAGGAGCAGAGCTTCCATCGCGCTACTCTGTCCCGACATCAAGATGCTCGATTGGGGTGGACGAGGAGAGGAGCAGAGTCCGTCTTGGTGGCCTCGTAGGCATCCGTGGATGGCCAGCTCAAATAAACGAGCACCGCCAAAGAAGAGCTTCCTTTTCCTCTTCTTGACCTATGTTCTCGCAGCTGCTGTGTGCTAGTACAAGAAGAGTGAGCAAGCTCTGCTCTACTCAAGCTCGAGGCTGGCAGTTAGCTTCAGGTGGTGTTTAAATCTAGGAGCTAAAGTTTAGGGATGCCACATCGGGTGTCACATGTGACTATGTGAGTATTCGGATAGTAATAATAAAACAAATTACACAAGTCCTCAGTAATCCGTGAGACAAATTTATTAAGCCTAATTAATCCGTCGTTAGTGCATGTTTACTGTAGCACCACATTGTCAAATCATGGACTAATTAGGTTTAAAAAATTTATCTCGCAAAGTAGTCACAATCTGTGCAATTAATTATTTTTTAGTCTATATTTAACCAAACATACGATGTGATAGGGACTCAACTTTACGGGGAGGAATTAAATAAGGCCTCACTTCACTTGAGTAGCTAGTTCACTTGGTGGAGAGGTGGCGCTCACTACGTGTTCGACAAATTGTCTCAAAGGGGTGAAGTTACTCATCCAAAGAAGAGGTAGACTCTATCTAAGCTAAATCAACCAATCAAATACAACTAAATGGCAGCCAGGCTTAAATAACGTAGACAGCTAAATAAGGAGGTGTTTGGTTTGGGCTACTAAACTTTAGGAGCTACTAAATGGTTTAGTCACTTTTAGTAACTCTAGAGTTACTAGAGAGGACTAAAGCCCTTTTAGTCACAATTAATCATAGTATTTGATAAAAAAGTTACTAAAACAACTAAAAGCTACTAAATTTAGAAGCTACTGAGTGAACCAAATATGCCCTATATTTATCCTAGCTCACTGAAGACGGACTCAAGTACCTAACTTATTTTCTAGCTAGTCTAAAGGAAAGCCAAGTAAGCGCGTGTTTAGTTGGGTGAAAGTTGAAAATTTGGCTACTGCAGCACTTTCATTTTTATTTGATAAATAGTGTTCAATCATGGACTAATTAGGCTTCAAAACGTTCGTCTCGCAATTTCCAACCAAACTGTGCAATTAGTTTTTTTCGTCTATATTTAATGCTTCATGCACATATCGCAAGATTCGATATGATGGCTACTATAGCACTTTTTAGAATTTTGAGTGGGAACTAAACACGCTCTAAACAAACCCACCCATGGGCTGTGTATTAGTGTATTGACTGTCCGCTTCGAGTCAACTCATCCCGGCGGTCCTGGTCAGGTCCACAGCACTTCAAGTCGGCTGACCGCGTCCTCATCCACGGCAGGAGATACGATTGTGCCGACCTAATCCAGCGGCAGCCAGGCACTCACCAAGCAAACCTCTTTAAATCTGGCCCCTTGACGCGCAGCCGGAGAGGGCCATCACCCCGTGTGCGTGTGCCCTCGCCTCGCCTCGCCCCGCCGCCCGCCCCAATCCCCTCCATCTCAAAAAATGGGAATTGTCACCGCCGCCGCCGCCGCCGCCGCTGCCACGTGCACGTCCCGACTCCTCCACTACCACGTAGCCGCCGGCAGCGACCGCCATCACCGGTACCAGCTCAGGTACTCCGCGAGTCCGTTTCCTCTCTCGCTGCGCTGCGGCTCCGGCCGGCGTGAGGCGGCGGCCCGGGCGCTCCTGCCCGACCGCGTCTCCCCGTTCTCATACGGCGTGGATGAGGACGCGGATGACCACCCGCGCGAGGAGTGCGGTGTAGTCGGGGTCGTGGGCGACCCGGACGCGGCGTCGCTGTGCTATCTGGGGCTGCAGAGGCTGCAGCACCGCGGGGAGGAGGGGGCCGGGATCGTCGCCGTGGGCGGGGACGGCAAGCTCAAGTCCGTGACCGGGCTGGGGCTCGTGGCCGACGTGTTCGGGGACCCGTCCCGGCTCGCCTCGCTCCCGGGCCCCGCCGCCATCGGGCACGTGCGCTACTCCACGGCCGGTGCCGCCGCTTCGCTGCGCAACGTGCAGCCGTTCCTGGCCGGGTACCGGTTCGGGCAGGTCGCCGTGGCGCATAACGGCAACCTCGTCAACTACCAGGCGCTGCGGAACAAGCTCGAGGCCAGGGGATCCATCTTCAACACGTCCTCGGACACGGAGGTCATTCTCCACCTCATCGCGACGTCGCTGTCGCGGCCGCTGCTCGTCCGCGTCTGCGACGCCTGCGAGCGCCTCGCGGGGGCCTACTCGCTCCTTTTCCTCACGGCCGACAAGCTCTTCGCCGTGCGCGACCCGCATGGGTTCCGCCCGCTGGTGATGGGTCGCCGCCGGAACGGCGCCGTCGTCTTCGCGTCGGAGACCTGCGCGCTGGACCTCATCGACGCCACCTACGAGCGCGAGGTGGAGCCCGGGGAGGTGGTTGTGGTCGACCGCCGCGACATGTCGGTGGCCTCGGCCTGCCTCGTCCCGCACCGCCCCCGCCGCTCCTGCGTCTTCGAGCACATCTACTTCTCGCTGCCCAACTCGGTGGTGTTCTCCCACGCCGTCCACGAGCGCCGCACCGCCTTCGGGCAGGCGCTGGCCGAGGAGTCCCCTGCCCCGGGCGCCGACGTCGTCATCCCGGTGCCCGACTCGGGCTTCTACGCCGCGCTCGGGTTCGCACGCGCGTCGGGGCTCGAGTTCCAGCAGGGTCTCATCCGTTGGCACTACAGCGGCCGCAGCTTCATCCAGCCGACGCAGGCGATCCGGGACCTCGCCGTGAAGCTGAAGCTCGCCCCCGTGCGCGGCGTCATCACCGGCAAGAGCGTCGTCGTCGTGGACGACTCCCTGGTGCGCGGCACCACCTCGAGCAAGATCGTGCGGCTGCTCCGCGACGCCGGCGCGCGGGAGGTGCACATGCGGATCGCGAGCCCGCCCGTTGTGGGCTCCTGCCTCTACGGCATCGACACGCCGAGCGAGGGCGAGCTCATCTCCAACCGGATGGACCTGGATGGCGTGCGCCGGGAGATCGGCAGCGACTCCCTCGCCTTCCTCTCGCTGGGCAAGCTGCACAGCATCTACGGCGAAGAGTCGGGGGACTACTGCGACGCGTGCTTCTCGCGCAAGTACCCTGTGCTGCCCACGCTGGCCGACCCGGCCGCCGAGCCGGAGGAGTGAGCCGGGAGCAGGTGAGCTCTGCTCTGCTTCGTCTGCCTGTACTTCTAGGTTGTTGGATTCAGCTCTGTTCGGAGTGTTGGACAATTCTGCGAGAAGCGCTTTATCATGGTACTGATGGATTACCAATAAGAAAATGACAAAAGCCAAAATCTGGTAGTTGTGTCAGCCCTTGTGCCGTTGTGCTCTCTATCACGTTATTACTGCTGAAGTGCTGATCAAATTATCCATGTCATTGCTAAATTCGTTTCGCTGAAATTTGGATTATGGTGATGCATATTGGCCGTGAGAAGAAATATTATTCATTTGCTGAAAATGACTGCTGAAATAATTCAAACGAACAGAACATAAATTTGGCATGGCGCAGTGGGGTCAGGGGTCAGGCTGCTAGCTAAACGCACCCTAAAAATCTTATTTTGCACAAATTTATCCTTTGTGAAGCAACTTCGCAATTTTTACCCAGAAGAATCAACAGCGAGTGAAATCATTATTGTGCCCCTTGACCTCACTAGTACTAGTACTACTTGGGCATTATATTTTGCAAGAACACTTAACTGCTACCTGCTATCCATCTAACGCGATAGTGCTACACCATCTGTACTCCTTCGGTAAAGTGAGTCCTTGATTAGTTCGTGAAATTTAGAAATTTGGGATACTGTAGTACTTTCGTTTTTATTTAGCAATTAGTGTTTAATTATAAATTAATTAGGCTCAAAACGTTCGTCTCGCAATTTCCAACCAAACTGTGCAATTAATTTTTTTTCATCTATATTTAATGCTCCATACACGTATCGTAAGATTTGATGTGATGGGTACTGTACCACTTTTTGAGAAAAGTTTTCGCGAACTAAACAAGAGGTGACATACATACGCTGATACGCATGCTTCTGTGTCCATGGGTCAGTGATTGCCTGCCTTTCTCTTGTAAACGTAAGACGTTGAGAAGTAGGCGAAAGCGAGAAGCTCTAACGCGGTGAGCGCTGCAAGGAGAAGGTAGAAGTAGTCGAGGTGACCCCGGTTGAGGTCGTCGGCGAACCAGCTGGTGCCGCCGTTCCTCGTCGTAACGCCATCGATCACCGTGATGAGGAAGCTGCTGATGAAGCTGCCGACGCCAAGGACGCTCAGGTAGAGCGCCAGCCCGAGGCTCTTGAGCGCCCCGGGGACCTGGTCGTAGAAGAACTCCTGCACGCCGACCATCGTGAACACGTCCGCGGCGCCGAGGAGCACGTACTGCGGCACGATCCACCACAGGCTCATGGGGACCGCTGACGTGCCAGAGCCATCCACATCCACCACCACCAGGCCGCCGCCGGCGTCCCTCGCCACTCGCAGCCGCTTCATCTCCACCACCGCGGCGACGACTAGAGTGACAAGGGACAGCGAGATCCCCGTGCCGATCCGCTGCAGCATGGTGATGCCCGAGGCGACGCCAGTGACCCCGCGCGCCACGGGCACCAGGAAGCGGTCGTACAGCACGATGCAGGTGACGATGCTGGCGCCGAGGAAGCACTGCAGTGCCGCGGGGGGTATCTGGAACGACTGCCCGACCCTCCGGTCCAGCGTCGCCGCCTGCTTCGTGAAGAGCGTGGGCGGCTGCGCGAACACCACGCCGTAGAGCAGGCACGTCGTCCATATCGGGAACAGCCTTGCCAGCCCCTTCACCTCTTCCGCGAGCACGGCGTCCTGGGGGAGCTCATCACCGTGTCCCAGCTCCACCGACCCGGCTTCATGCGACCTCTTCTTCCTCCAGGCCACGAAGGCCTTGCGGACCAGTGAGAACGTGCTGGCACTGGCACCACCATCGTTGCTCCCGCGGGAGCCGTAGAACCTGTAGGTCCTCGTGCCAAGCAGGAAGACGGCGAGCGCGAGTAGCATGGCCATGGACGGCACGCCAAAGCCGAGGGCCCAGCCGACGTTGTCCTGCACGTAGCTCATGAGCGCGATCGTCACGGTGGCGCTCGTGCAGAGCCCCATATACCACCAGTTGAAGAAGGAGGCCCGGGACACGGACTCGTCAGGGTCTGTCGCGTCGAATTGGTCCGCGCCGAAGGCCTGGACGCAGGGCTTGTGCCCGCTCTGGGCGATGGCCACCAGGTAGAGGGAGACGTAGAAGAAGGCCGTCTGGAGGGAGGAAGTCGAGCATCCGTCGGCGGAGTCACGGCATTGTTGAGGTGATTTGAAAATTGATGAGAGCGTCAGCATCCCAAGGCCCTGCCATTTGCCAAATTTGGGTGAGAAGAAATGAAGAATGCACATACTGTAGTATGTACTAGTTCTACTCACACTTTGGTGAAAGTGTGGCTTTTGACAAAAGGGCAATGTTTTGAGATTCATGCAACAAAGCTTTGTAAAATTTCGCACAGATACATGAACATGATAATATTGATATGCATCTTTAAATAGATTTCCATAGTTTTCCCGCTCTAATTTATTTGGTTTATAAACATACAACATGCCAACATCAGTACATCACATTTCTTTCGACAAGCAGGCTATTCGCAGGAATCATGTTTACTCGAAGCATGCCATATCATCACAGCAGCCTTTGGCTGTTTGGATCCATACGACTATCAACGTTTTTACTTTTGACGCTTAGTTGGAAAATGGACATCATACAGGTAGTGTATATTCATTTCTCGGGGAAACATGATTTGTAAGCGTTTTTTGGTTGGTTCCGTTTCTAATTCGAACAGAACATTTGTTACCCAAATTAGACTTAGCGTGACTCGTTTTTTTGCTCCCATATTTGGTTGGTTCCGTTTGTAATTTGAATGCGACCACCTGCCGGTAATGCTCCTATTTTGCCCCTGAACTGTCAGGCTTCACTGAAGTATACAATCACACGCTTTGATTTCTGCTGAAGTCGACACACTGAAAACGACTGAACGAACCAAAGACCTCTCCAAAGAAGATACGCACATGCGCAACACAATCAAGTTGAAAACGGGGGCAGTTGCACAGACGTACGTAATGAGGAGGTCACGTAGTCCTCTTGAATTCAGATTCAGAACGCACAGGAAAAGACGTCTCCATGGGCATCTAGGATGATGGTTCTAACATGGAAAATGGAGACATTTTTTTTGTGTTACGTGAGTCGTGAGATAGGATGGATGGTTGCTCGGGGCAGGCCGAGCGAGCCGCTCGAGAGTCGAGTCGGCCTCTACGTGTCCGGCGACCGGACAACAGGATGCACGGTGAGCTTGCTATACTGCTGAGCTACGATACGAACACTACTGTCACAACTACCAATATACATAAACCCAAAAAATACATGAATACGTCAAGTATGAAACAGGGTGCATGAGCGTCAGCTAAGCAACCACCAGTTCTTGTCTGATTCTCGGAATCTATACATCACCCCTCCAGATGAAAAACTTGTTTAACAACCTTTTGTTTTTTAAAACCCGTCAGGAGTTTTTCTGGACTCATTTTACCTCATTTTGTGCCGAATTTCATGCTCGGAGTGGTGGTCGTGGACAGGTCAGCGATCACACGACAACAAAGAGTATAACCCAAGCAAGCACGGAGCGGAAATTGATTAAGTATGTCGGGGGTGAGATGGAGGAGATCGAAAGCGGTGCGGCGTGGTTGGGGGCTCACCGTGATGTAGAGCACGGAGGAGGCGACGATGGTGCGGTAGCGTCCGAGCCAGGAGTCGGCGACGGCGGCGCCGAGGAGCGGCAGCATTGACGCGGCGCCCGACCACGCGTTCACCGCCGCGGCGGCGGCCGCCGTGGTCTGCCCGAGCGGGCCGGTCAGGTAGCTGATCAGGTTGGACGAGATGCCGTAGTACGCGAACCGCTCCGCCACCTCCACCCCTGCACGCACGCACCGCCCGCCAGTAAGCGAATCGGATCGAGGTCGAGGCCGATCTAGCGCCGGCGAGATCGTGGGGGGCAGCGGGGCTTACAGATTATGAAGAGGGCGGACCTCCAGCCGCCCGTGGACGGCGCGCGGGGGCCGGGGAGGAGCGGGTCCGAGGAGGCAGGGCCCGAATCAGACGCCATGGCTGGCTGGCGAGCGGAGAGAACCTCTTCTCAGCGGAGGCCTTGGCGCGGGCCGCGTCTGGACGAAGGAAGAGGCGTGGGCTCTTTCGGAAAGAGAGGGAGGGGTGGGCGCTGGGCAGGTGGCAGTTGGTTGCTCCGTCCTAAACCCGCATAGAAATATTATATCTATATAAATATAAACTGCGTATATCTAGAATTTGAATTCGAACAAAATTTGTTTAAAGAGGACAAAAAGAGACAGATATTCACATGTTTGCGGGGGCAACCGTTCAAGTCTAATCTGCAACCCGCAACTAATTTGTTTCTTTTTCCCTTTTACTTACTTAAACAAATTTCTGTTCCATCTTAAAAAATTTATATTCACATAGATGATTCATGCTCTATTCACCCTTATTCTTTTTATTTATCATGCACCACTTTACAACTTTTTGTAGCTAGAGATATAAGTGAGCTAGTATGTGAACTCATGTATAGTCAGAGGTGACAACATATTTGGATAATCCAAAGTCTAATTGGACCTAGTTGCTTTGAATACACTCAGGATACGGTCTATTTGGGTTTGGACATCCACCATGTGATCCATTACAATCCAAAATTTTCATTGGAGAATAACTTAAAAGGTTCAGTGTCCATTTTTTTTTGTGGCCGTGTCTAACCATTTTTTTTAATAAGAAGAGAAAGATACAACATAAGGTCCCAGCAAGCCTAGACTTACCAAGACCAACCCTTCCTTACAAAGCTAGTCCCATAAGGATCACCCACAAAGTTCATGATCAAGTAATTATATAAGAAAAGCTTGCGAGCAACTTTGTACCAAGAGAAATAGCTACCAAATAATATGGCTAACAACTAATAGCGACATTCCTAGGCAGTAAAGTTCACCCCAAAGCCCATCAACCGTAGCTAGCCCAAAGGGACGTGACAGCCAGCTCCATGCGACATGGCGCTTCGTGACCTGCCAATGGTGCGGAGGTGCCAAGTGCCATCACCAAGAACAACGACCAAGGATGAGCTGCGGAGTTTGTGCGCCAAATCAAGGCGGAGCATGACTTCTTTTGTAATTTTCAGTAGAATTACAAGTGACGACAACTTCTCAAGTTTCGAAGAGGGGCACAACATAGCAATATCTTGATCCCTGAAAGGAGCATCCATGGTGGAACATGGAGCAGTAGCAAAAGGCAGGGGCGAGCGAGAAATTAAACATAGAGGGGACCGATCGAAAAAAAACCAACTGATAAAACTTAGCGTGACTTGACCTATTAGGTTTTTTATGGCGATCGTCTGGATTAATTCATCGACTTCACACAATTGCTCGCATTTTTTTATATGTATTCTATAATTTAAGGCTCTATTCTTTCGGTGCTAGGCGACATGGCAATTGAAGCAAGGCTCTATGATAAATCGTGAGATCTACCAGCCTAGTCTTTAGGAGGTATTTGTAAGGATGATTTTATCTAATTGTGTTTTCTATGATTTTATTATCTACTCCTATCCTTCCCGTAAAAAGTATCACTATGGAATTTGTAATGGTCTTAAGTTTGACTACGTTTATAAAAAACATTAGTATCTGTAAATAAGTTTATTATGAGAATATATTTGATGATCTATCTAATGATACTAATTTCGATGATCTATCTAATTATACTAATTATGTACTATAAATATTAATATTATTTGACTTCTCAAAAAGTGAGAATGACATTTTTTATTGGACGAAGGGAGTAGAAGATATTAATAAGTATATATGACAATAATTTGTTATATTCTTTCACTAAATATAAATAAAAACTATAAGATTATACTAATAACAAAATTGTTGTCATATGTTAGGGGAGGCATGCCCCTTCCGACCCCCTTGGCTCCGTTGTTGGGTGTACTATATAGTTCTTCCACATAAGGGGCAAACTCCCCTATTCTTGGCACAGTCCTGCAAAATATTCCTTACGATTGTTAGTACTATGATCCGTCTGCTCTTCCCATGGCTATAAAAGAGGGTGTAAACATGTAACGGATAGGATTAGGAAGCAGACACAAAACCTAACGTAGAGACAGTTGTTACATACTCGATCCTAGTGCTGGTGCTGGTGCTGGCACCATCATCACCGCCCCGGGTCCAGCGTTAGGTAGGGGTCGGAGCGAGCACGATCACTTCCAGCGCGCCACTGATGATGATGAGGAGGAGGGCCTTCGGAGCAGCAAGGTTTCCGGCTTATTGTGCGTGTTTGATACAGAGACTAAAGTTTAGTCTGTGTTACATTGAACGTTTGGATATTAATTAGGAGGACTAAGCCAACTAAAAAAACTACCCGATGAGTAGAGGAGGGCCTTCGGAGCATCAAAGGTTTCCAAAAAAGTGCAAAGGCCGTCTGTGTAATTAGATATTTTTAGTCTATATTTAATAAGGTGTCAAGCATTCGATGGGAAGAAAATATTGTAAAAGAACCCAACAGCCCCGCGAAGAAAGCATTGTTCGCATGTGCGGACCCAGTATACAAGGAGCGGGGGCACGTGCTCCTACTCAAATTCTAGGTCATTTCTAATAAATTCTGATAAATTTTATAAAAAAATAATAATGTCGGAAAATACACTTATGGATACAAACATAATCTAATTTCGATCGTGCTTTTAGAAAAAAAAATATATTAACATCTATAAGTATAAATAAATGCACAATTAAGACATGTTTCATGAGAAATTCCACGAAAGTAATTTGATATTATCGCCATGTTCGTTTGATTTATAAGTCGTACTTTTTCAGCTAACGAATAGTATTTTTCTCTCACAACAAATCAGCCAACAGTACTTTCAGCCATGACTTATCAGCCAAAGCGAACATGGCAATAGAAGTTGATGTAGTACTTTTACACTCTTAGTTGGGTATCTTATCACCTAGACTATACTATGTAGTACTTTTGTATGGCGTACCACAAAGCTCTAGCTAACCCTCAACAGTTGCATGTACGGCTCCTTTGTTCTTGTACTTGTACGTCACGGCGAAGAAGACATAGGCGAGGAGCTCGACGGCGCTGAGCGCGGCGAGCAGCCAGTAGAAGTAGTCCACGTGGCCGCGGTTCAGGTTGTTGGAGAACCAGCTCCCGCCCCTGGCCGCCGTCACCCTGTCGATGACCGACACGAGCGCGCTGCTGATGAAGCTGCCGACGCCGAAGATGCTGAGGTAGAGCGCCAGCCCGAGGCTGCGCAGCTTGTCCGGCACCTGATCGTAGAAGAACTCCTGCAGGCCGACCATGGTGAACACGTCGGCGGCCCCGAACAGCACGTACTGCGGCACCATCCACCACAGGCTCATCGGTAGCGGGACCTTTGGCTTGTCCACGAGGCCAGCGTCCCGCGCGACGCCGAGCCGGTGCTTCTCGACGAGCGCCGCGATCACCATGGACAGGAGCGAGAGGAACATCCCCGTGCCGATGCGCTGCAGCATGGTGATCCCGGATGGCTTGCCAGAGTACCGGCGCGACACGGGCACGAGGACACGGTCGTAGATGGGGATGAAGACGACGATGGTGATGCTGATGAAGCTTTGCAGCGCGGCCGGTGGCACCTGCAAGCCGTGCCGCCCGACGCGCCGGTCCAGGGTCGCCGCCTGTTTGGTGAAGAACGTCGACGACTGCGAGAACGCCACCGCGTAGAGCAGGCACGTCGCCCATATCGGGAACAGACGGATGATGGCCTTGGCCTCCTTGACGAGGCCTGCATTATTGCTCACTGCAGCCTGCTCCTCATCGACGACACCAGCACTGCATAAATCGACAGACATCAAAAGGCAGTGAAGTCATGTCGTTTTGCCGTCGAACACATTGTGCAAGATTGTGAGACTCCCGCATATACTGACAGAGTACATACCTGAATCCCGGCGCCCCCTCTGCTGCAGGTCGATCACCATGCTGCAGGGCCTTTCGCTTGCTCCGCCACTCAGCGAAAGCCTCGCTGGCACGAGCGAACAGGCCCCGGTCCCCGGCAGTGACGTAGTACCGGTACGTTCGTGTGCCGAGAAGGAACACGGCGAGCGCGGCCGCCATGACGGCGCACGGGATGCCGAAGCCGAGGCCCCACCCGATGTTGTCCTGCACGTAGCTGAGGAGCACGAGCGTGACGGCGGTGCCGGCGCACATGCCGAAGTACCACCAGTTGAAGAAGGAGCTCCGGGAGATGGTCTCCTTGGGGTCGCTCTGGTCGAACTGGTCGGCGCCGAACGCCTGGACGCACGGCTTGTGCCCGCCCTGCGCCACCGCCACGATGTAGAGGGAGACGTAGAAGAAGGTCACCTTCAGGGTGGACGGCGCGCAGGTCTGGGTCTGGCCCCCGGCGGTGGTGCATTGGTGGCCGCTGCCCGAGGAGAGCAAGGTCGAGAAGGCCAGCATGCCTAGACCCTGCATTCGTTCGTTTTCCAGTGATCATTGGCAGAGTTGAAGTTAGTCAGAAGCAGAGTATTCGTCAACGAAGAAGAGACGAAAACAACAACGTGAAGGCATAGCTGAAGGCCCAATGATTTCCATAGAGGGCCATGGAAGCCTGGCCCAAAATCTTAGTCTCTTAGGGAAGTCCAGGCCCATCAGCTCAAGATGCATACAAGGAAGCAGGTATGTGAGTTTCTCAAAAAAAAAAAAAACGAAGCAGGTATGTGAAGACTTGTAGACTGAAAGAGGGAAAGAAAGGGGGAAAATATCTGAAGGCTCCACCAGAGGAGTAGTTGGTGGCTATAGATGCTCCTCTTGAGTTTTGTATGAGATGATCCCATCAGCGGTGACGTTAATGCAACGACAAGCACTAGTTTCGCGTCCGTGATGTGACGCGACGAACCCAAATACTAGTTTAGCATCAACTTGCCGCGACAATAATGGCTCAAATGCAATGTACTAGCCTCGTTTAGATTGTAAATTTTTGCAATCCAGAAACTGACGTTTCATTTTTATTTGATAAACTTTGTTTGATCATGAACTAACTAGGCTTAAAAGATTCGTCTCGTTATTTACGACTAAACTATACAATTAATTATTTTTTTTATCTACATTTAATGCTCCATACATGTGTCTAAAAATTAATGTGATAGAAAGAGAGAGTAAAAAAACTTGGAATTTTGATGAGATCTAAACTAAGGTCATAGTAGACAACCTGTAGCTTCCTAGATCTCGCCCATGGAAGGGGAATTTTCAAAGGAAGGAAGGACGAAGGGCTAGCTAAAACAACGAGACAAACGTGAAAGCGATCTGCCGAGTTGGCATCCGGGTTTGGGTTTAATTTGCTCACGAGGACGTAGAGGAGCGAGGCGATGACGATGGTGCAGTAGCGGCCGAGCCACTTGTCCGCGAGGGCCCCGCCCAGCAGCGGCAGCAGCTGCGCCACCCCGTTCCACGCGTTGATGGCCGCCGCCGCCGCCGCGGTGCCCTCCCCGAGCGGGCCCGTCAGGTAGTTGATCAGGTTCGACGACACGCCGTAGAACGTGAACCGCTCCGCGATCTCCACCGCTGCATCGATCGCGAGGTAACTGATGACTATGTGCTGGTCGCTGTATATGTGAAGTCAGACAGAGATCGATCCAGGGGCGGGCGAGCGAGCAGCTAGACTTGCCTATGATGAAGAGCGCCGACCTCCAGCCGCCGGTGGCGCCGCGGTCGGCGGGGCGGCCGCGGTAGTCCAGTGCCGCGTCGGCGCGCGCCAGCAGGGGGTCGGAGTAGTCGTCCGAGCCGGAAGGCATCGTCGCCGGAGTGGGGGATCAGAGTCGGGGATTTATTGGTACTCTCGTCGGCTGAGAGCGAGTAGTAACGGCCGGAGAAGCTGGAGATAAGCTTGCTCTGACACGCGGAGCCGAGAAACCAGAAACGGCAGGCGCAAGCTGTCGCTCGGCGAACTCGAATTCGAACCAACCAACCGGACGACGGGTGGATTGCCGCCTCGGCAGCGGGGGCGGAGGCTTCTCAATGGGAGCGAAGTAGGAAGAAGTGCTGCTGTTGACTAGTATACGATGATTACGCGCCGCTCCCCCACTCCCAAGTCCCACCAAGTATTGCTGATTGCTGTAGGGCCCCCACGCACAGACAAATCGACCGGACCAGCCTGGACCTCCGCAATCTCACCTGCGCCCCACATCGGACAGGAGTCGTCCGGTTCGGTCCTCCTCTCTTTGCTGGGCCGTCGAGTTTGGCTAACTATGGGTTGAATTACTTCTGTGAAATCACTGCATCCGTTTTTTTAAAACGATGGCAGGAACACTATCTTTCTTTCTTTTTTTCAAGTAAAGAAAAGCTTTATTAGCTAGACACCAGGGTTAATAAAACCGGCATTTAGAGGGTCCTAAGCATACGCAGGTGTAATGTTTGCTGTGCCTAGCTAAGCCAGCCAATGCATTTGCCACATACATGATTACAATCGCTCTTTACTTGGGAAATTTTGCACTCCCCTTTGAGTTGAGTCAGCACCCTAATTTCCTCTATGACCGGGCCTATCTCTGATCTATCTATCAATTTGTGTCTTATCCTTGAGGCAACCAAGCACAATGAAATTCTAGAATGACTCTTGATAGTCCTCAATGAGTAGCCCAGTGCAGGCCCTCAATGCAAGCCAAAGCTTTTGATTCCCGGGTGCTCCCGCAGTGCTCAATGAACTTCCAAGCTGTGAAGATCACTGACCTGTTACAGTCCCTAGCAATGGCTGCCGCTCCTGCCCCACCGGAATGCTCCAGGAATGACCCATCCACGTTAATTTTAGGCCATCTTGATGGTGGAGGTTCCCATGTTCTGTTGGTTGGCTCGGTGGCATTCCTTGGAGGAACACTGCCTTTCAATTAAGAGAAAAGAGAAAGAGTTTACCACTATGTCCAGTTTAAGACCCTGTTTGGATTGAAGGAGTATCATTTGTGTAGAAATTGAAAACAAGGAAAGGAATTTGGAATGTGAGTTTGGAATAGAGGAATTGCCTGTCCCTTTTCTCTTGAATCCTATAGCTATTAGCTAGCCAACAATTTCACAGGAATGAAAAAAATCCAGTTTGATCTGTGGTTCTCTCTTCCTCCACTGAAGCCCGAGGCAAAGCGCATTAAGAAGAGGGTGATCTGCACCACTGTCACTGCTCAGTTGGTTAGAATTGCCGACTGGCACAGTACTACATGTTTTGAGCTGCTACATGCCTTTTTCCCTCCCATCGGATCCTACATAAAGTCTATTTCCTGTGCTCTTTGTTCCTCATGTGTTTATTTATTTCCTCTGTTTTGTGAATACTCTTCTGATTTTGTACTGTTTAATTATATTTACTTTAGAAAGGACTATATTTAGTAGCTGTAAACTTGACAATGATGCATCTTGTGTATGTGGGTGTGTTTATTGGGTCAAATATGTATGTACTATACTATTGATGTGAGGGCTCCCCGCTCCCATCTATACAGTCTCGTAAAAGAATTCGTCGATCCCTTCTTGTTTTTCTTATCTTTTTGTATATTTATTAATACGTGACCCATGAACACATTTTTCTAGCTTTCCCTTTTATTTTCCTGTTTTTTTTTTTGTGGCAATTGCCACCAAATTTATACTATTGCTCTTGAGTCTTGAACTAATTAACTTACAAAACAAGTTTGTAATTTCTGTAACACCACCGATTGCTTTGCCTCTAAATGATTGTATTTAAAGAAAAAATGGCTTGCTGGAGGGCGCAATTGAGGCAAGGGGGGATTGATTGAGGTGGAGTGAGGCGTTCGTCAGTGGTCAGTGTGGAAACTTACACACGAGGGCGCTGCAAAGGTCGACCTGCATGGCCTTGACTTGGCAGTTGGCACAGATGGTTCGTAAAAACATACGGATACGGCGCATTCAGTCAGGGGACTATTTGTCCTCTTCAACGTAACCGCAAGTTACACTGTGGTGCTATGATTAATAAACTTCGAATGATTGGGGGTGTACGGAGATGGACACTAAATTTTAATACTCCGTCCGTCTTAAAAAGAGCTTGTTATTTTACAAAAATTTAGATAAATGATCGTGAACCCAAATGACCATGGTAGCCCTATTTATGCATATTCTATAGGTAAACACTCCATCCATCCCAAAATATATGTTGTTTTCGCTTTCTGATAAACAACTTTGGCAAAATATATTAAAACATATTAATATTTATGGTACATAATTGATATCATTGGAAAGATCTTTGAATATAGTTTTTTAATAAATTTATTTGGAGATACAAATGTTACACGTATTTTCTACAAATTGAATCAAGCTTACGACACGGAAACCAAAAGCGACAGATAATTCGGGACAGAGGGAGTAGTTGTTTTTTATCAAACAAGTACAACTAATAAAATAGCTAATGGTTAGCTGGACCTCTAGTAGATAATAATTATTTCATTAGCATGACCAAATGAGATAATAACAACTAACAGTTATTTAGTAGCATTTTTCATTAGTTGTGCATCCAAACACACTCCTAATAGGTAGCTAATACTTAGCTAGTTGATATCATATATGAGCAAACTAACTATTAGCGGATAATGAATCCAAGCATGGTCTAAATTAATTGCGCTTGCAGCTATAATTAAGGAGTTGATATGATATATCAGACATAATTGGGAATTTTATTTTAAAATGCAAAGCAATGAATCAACAGCTAGCTAGTTAAGTAAGGGTGTGTTTGATTTGAGGACAAAGGTGGATGGGATATGGTCATTCATGGATTTCGGGATATGGATATCATGTTGTTTGTTTGGTTGGATGGATAGGCGATCCATTTTTTTATTTGGTTGGATGAATGAGATTGCATGTGATGAGAATATTTGACTAATTATATCATAATAAATATGCACCGACACTAATCTTGTCATTATAGGCTCCGTTCGCTTCGCTGAAAAAACAAACCAAAACACTGTTCCCGCTGATTTGTTGTGAGAGAAAAACATTGTTCCGACTGAAAAAATAAGCTGAAAAATATGGATTATAAGAGAAACAAACAGAGCCATAATCACTAATTAAAAATAAAATATGTTAATTAGCACTATATTACTCCTATCCGTCTAATTTTTAAAGGCCCCGATATTCAATATCTACTCAGAATATTTTCTGTCGTCGATATCCAGGCTTAGAATGTGTATCCAACCACACACCTGTATACATAGAACCAAACACAAAGGAAGCGGAAATATATTCAGTCTTTTTTTTTCTTACGAGGATGTAGACGAGCGAGGCGAGCACGATGGTGCCGTAGCGGCCGAGCCACGAGTCCGCGAGCGTCCCGCCCAGCAGCGGCAGCAGCTGCGCCGTGCCGTTCCACGCGTTGATGGCCGACGCCGCCGCCGCGACCCCTTCCCCCAGCGGGCCCGTCAGGAAGGTGATGAGGTTCGCCGACACCCCGTAGAAGGAGAACCGCTCCGCTATCTCCACCGCTGCACGACGCATCATCGTAACCGATCGATCTCATCTCAGCAAGAATGGAAACTTGATGCGTATATATATGGATGGATCGATCGAGCCAGCTGCGGATGCCAACTTGCCTATGATGAAGGAAGCGGACTTCCAGCCGCCGGTGGAGGCGCGGGAGGCCGGCCGGCCTCGGTGGTCCACCGCCGCCTTGACGACGGCGGCACCGGCACCGCCCGCTGCCGCGCCCTGCTCGTCACCGCCGTCCGCCATTCTTGTGAATAGATCGAGTTGGTGGATGGCTAGGTGTCCGACCAGAGCCCGATGACGCCTGAAACGGCCGGAGCCAGGAGCTAGTAATAATTAATGGCTAGGCATCCATCCTCGCCGGAGCAGCGCGCGCGGTTGGGGTCCGGGGCGTTAAATAGCCGTGGACTATGGAGAAATCAAGGCAACTAATCAAGCACCGCACCGCTGGAGAAGGCGGATCGGAGATGACAAATGAGCTAGCTTATCGTCGTGGTTCACTTCTTTATTTGGCACGAGTTTGACTTCATTTGCTGTCTTGCCGATTTCGGGATCGTGATCGTGAGAGATACACTGACTCTGTGAGGCATGCGCGGTCAACTTCTTGTGAGGCATGCGCGGTCAACTTGCTTCGATGTGCATGCATCCACGACGAAGATAATTCTTGTACCTATATGCACTACCGGTAGCGTAAAAAAAAACTCACATAAATAATATCCAACCTCTACAATTTTTCGCCTATATTATTTCATAAGCGTGGGTATTTGCTCTCTCAAACCATAATCCTCATATAGCAATTTGGAATGATAAGGCATCGATCTATTTCAACTAGTTTGACACGGAAATATTTCTGCTTTTCTTGCTCTATTGTTGAAACTTTGGAAGCTATTATATTTTGGTGTGTGAACTCGGGTATATTGTTGGTAAGAATTACCCGTCGGGAAGTATGGAATGAATTTTCACCCCGCATCACACGTACGGTAACCCGACGGGTAAAAATTTTGATCTAATGGCGATATGTGGCCGATGCCGTATTTTGCCATCTTTATTTTGATGCACGCCAGATGGCGAGAAAATTTTTTCATTATCAAACGTGGGCTTCGCTCTTTATTTCCTCTGTCCCCTTTCACCGTTATTCCTTTCACTTTACCCCTCACCCATACCGTCAGAACCTTATCTTCTTCTTCTGTTCGCACGACAAGGACCGGGAGGGAGAGAAGGAACGGGGGAGAGAGAGACGCCGCCAGGCAGCGAGGTGGTCGACGGTGAGGTGGTCGTGTTCACCGCCCTCTCCCAGGCGGTGCACCGTCCTGCTCCAGGCGGTGCCCTTTCAGAGCTGTCCGGTGCCCTCTGTTTCTTGTTATCGATCTCTCTCTCTCTCTCTCTCTGTTCGTGTTTTTGCCTCTGTCTTCCAGCGCTGGGAGTCGGAGTCAGGTCCCATAGTTCGATGCCCAGGCAGAGGAGTCCGGCTACTGGTTTTCCGTTTGCTGCTCGTCGCGGTGCTTGCAGACCAGCATCAAGCGCATCAGCTCTGTGCGCTCGTCCAGCGCCGAGCAGAGCTCGTCGTGAGCCAAGGTGAATCTGTCCTTAATTTTGATTGGTCAAAAAGTTAGCTTCTTGCATCTGTTTTTCTCTGTTCGTTGCTTGATCCTGCTTCAAGCACTTGCGTGTGGTGCTCAGCTGCAAGAGCAATTTATCCAACAGCACAGCTCGCATAGGCAGCTGATGCCGCTCCTAATTGGCTAGCCCAGTTTGTTCCCTGCAGTGCCGAGCAGATTTTAGTAGCTCTCTCTGTGCTAGAATTTCCAGGTGTTTTTCCGGTCCAAGCTGCTTGAATTTACAGCTCGCTTTTGTCTGTCGTTTGCGCGTTTGAGCTCCTGTTCGCGTTCCGTTTTCTGCGTTGGTCTTCCACCTCGATGACGACGCAGCCGAGCTCGTCCTCAGAAACATCAGTAGACGGACGATGAGAACAAGATAAGGTTCTGATCGGATGGGTGAGGGGTAAAAGGGGAAAAGAAATAACAGAAAAAAAATTAAAATTAAAATACGATACATATACTGGTCCAGGACATTCTAGCGATGCATCGTGTTTAAAAATAACAGGCGAATCTCATTTACGGAATGGTAAAAAGCGAACCCACACGTTAATAACGAAATAGCAATTTTCTCCGCGGTAGCTGGCCTCATAGGCGGCGCGCGGCGCCGGAGACGTGTGCGCTGGATCCCTCTGCGCGCGCCACCTGGAACACAGGACAGGTGGACATCCGTGGCGGCGCGAGCCACCGCCGCCCGACGAAGCCACCAGTATCCGCGGTCGATGGCTTTTGCACCGCCCGCTGCCGAGACACGGTGATCTTTCAACCAGAGAATCAACTTTTGAACATTAGAAGCAGTCTCGATACCCCAAAAAAAAAGTCAACATCTGAAGCATCCATTGAAAGTCATAACTTTGAATTGGTGAACTTTTGATATTACCACCTTTGGTTTCTGACTCCTGTGCGCGAATGACGCTCATGCAGTCAAAAGCTCCGACTGCACAGACAACTTATGATCGTAACCTCTAATCGCCCCGTTGGTTGGTTGGTCTGAAACTGCCTAAAAAATATTGTTCCGACTGAATTATTGTGAGAGAAAAATACTGTTCCGGCTGAAAAAAAAAAACCGAACAAACCGAATATGGGCTAAGCCGAACATGGGCAATGGCTAATGCAACTGACTATAGAATGTGTTTAGACCCATAGAGAACAATTCATTAGACGATTCACAAAAATAACAATTTGATTAACTCGTGTACATACAACTATGCGGTATGTTCACTAACAAAAATAAAATAGTTTAATTCGAGAAAACAAAAAAAATCATTAGGTAAGAAATCTCACGGAATGGAGACTAGCTTATTATTTCAATTAGTAGCATGTTCTTCGAATGGATCTCATAATTGTTTAGGTTTCCAAAATAGTACGCTATATAAGCTATACCCAGTAAATTTTACAAGTCAGCCAGATATTGAGATGGTGACTAAAATTGTTGTTTCTATTTTTATAGAATTTTAAGGTTACAATGGATCTATAAAAAGACCGTGTTCCCTAACAAATGGGTTCAATTCTCAATTTAAAATTTATATAAACTATAGTATGGGAAAGGGAACCTACGATGTTTTTCTTTAACTTGTGGACTAGTGGCCTAATAAGTTGGTCTCCTTTATGTAGTCACGCAGCCTCATGGAGTTGTTAGTGGATAAGGTGATCGCCGAGTTGCAGCATAATCGAGTCTCGAAAAGGTGAGACATCCGTGAGAGAGAGAACTAAAAAGAGAATTTGTTAGTTGACACTGGGAAAATAAGTCATTTTTTTCTTGGTTCTGAAATTTTCTTCGTTCCTTATTTGACACTCATTTGAACTTTCATTCTTAATATGACACCGCAGTCAAATCCGTCATCTAACGTTGTTAAGTGGCTGTTAAAAAGACCTTTTTGCCCTTGGGTGCTGTTGCATGCATGCAGCGGGCGCTGGGCGCATGCATGCAGCACATGTAGAGGCGCGGATGCATGCATGCAGCGTATCTGGCCGCTGGCTGCTCTCTTTTTTTTGTCAACATGTTTTTGATCCAGGGGCAAAAAGGTCTTTTTAACAACCACTTAACACCGTTAGCTGATGGATTTGACTGCGGTGTCATATTAGGGATGAAAATTCAAGTGAGTGTCAAATAAGGAACCAAGAAAATTTCAGGGACAAAAAAGGAACGACTCATTTTTTCCGATGTTAAATAAGGAATTCTCTCGAACTAAAATCACGACCATCGGTCATCTTTCTCGCACGAATCTTAGCATTCTGGCTCCGTTGATTGATATACTTACTACTGTACTAAATTACCATCTGATAATTGGATCATAACTAAATAACTAATAATGAGCCCCATTTGGCCCATTCCTGATATCACCAAACTTTGGTATTCTATTAAGTAACCTAGAGCTATAGTGCCGTAATGAGCCCACCCATAAATAAAGAGGTGGAAAACTAGAAGCAAAATGTGATGTACGATTATTCTAGGACTAAGGAAGTACGGTCTATCTTTCTTTTTTTATAATGTGTAGCTTGATATGACATAGTTTTCTAAATTACACTTTGACCATTTATTTATTTTATATTATATTGTTTTAATTATAAGCTTATGATAATTAGATAGTAGTAGTACATTTGATTATAAATCAAACTGTATCAAATTTATATTATAATAATAGTTAAAAATAATTAACTACATTATTGATCAAAGATTTTAGATTTGAACCTTGATATACATGTGTGTCTTATTAAAAATATGGAGAAAGTATATATTATAAGCTTACACGCACAATACATGCCTGACCTCTACACTGAACTTGTTGCGCCAAAGAAATTAGTAGATCCATGACACTGCAAGTGGCAAATGACAAGCATGACAAGCGATTAGGGGCGGAGCATAGGCCATACCAAACTGGGCCATACCCCCCTAACGTCTCAAAAATTCTTAATCGCCATATACTAAACCATGGCTAATATCATTTGTGCATAGTTAGTGGCCCCTCCAATTCATCCCTGGACCTTGATGGCGTGTTTGGATTGGATCACGAGCTGGCTCCGGAGCCATCCGATCCTATATCCGAACCTGGCAATTTGTTTGGATTGAAGCATGGAGCCGTCGCATGCAGCACCAAGTGATCCTTTTTTAGTTCATTTCTCGGACTCGGCTCGTCCGCCAGAAAAGCAAGGGGACGCTTCGTCCGGAACCATGCTGACTGGAACCACCTGATCCAGCAAACCAAACAGCCTGAGTTGCTGGCCCTGGCACCCTTCAAGATTATTTCGCTCAAGGTCCGCTACTACAAGTGAGCGGTTGAAGACCAGTTGATGTCATCCGCTTGGTGGTTTTCTTTGTGCAGGCAGGACAAGAATGACCGAGCACAACATCTCTTTGGCCATGCACTCGTAGCCCTCTAGTCCTAATCTTAGTATTACTGTACTCCTAAAGCCTCCATATTAATATTTTGAGGCAGGTTAGAATAAGCGATCAATCCTAACAATTAGTAAAAACGATAAAAAACACCCGGTCACCAATTTGATAGACTCAATCATCACTGATAATAATAGCTATTGGATATATTTCATTATCTTGAAACTATTCATGTCTAACAATATGAAAAATAGTTTGAAGTAACCGCTGAGTTATATTTGAATCATGCACATGCACCTCTGTCACTGTAGAAAATAATCTAAAGTAACCCTCTTAAATCTTCATCTAAATTACAAATCTATGTAAATAATGAAAAAATAATATGAAGGAACCTTAAATTAATTTTATATATGAATTACCCATATTTACCATTATTAAGAATAATAATCAAAAGCAAATTCATAATTATTAATATTTATCTAAATTACTTATGTCTTTCGCAAAAGAAAACAATTATACTTACCTTTGTCGTTATAAAAAATAATCAAATTACTCATATATGTGTTCCTAAATTACCCACATTTTACAATGTTACTCATGTTCATGTATGTGCTGGCCCACCTTACCTCTCGGCTCCTTATTGGTATGGTGTTAACTCTGTTATCATCTGTATAATCTCATTAACACGATTCATTTATGGTATTAGACTAAACCTAAAGGTGTATCAAACAATATGTAGAAGAAAGAGCGGGCTAACATAGAGGCGAGAGAAGAACAAAAAAAAAGTACTCAATTCTAATGGCATATGAAAATAGAAAACACGAGCCCCATGGAGAGGGTAGTTGGTTACTCCCATATGTGGGGCTTTGAGTTGTGTGTGAGGCTATCTCACCTTCCTCTCTACTTATAATAGTTTGATTGCTACACCTTAATAGCCAGCAGACAAGTAAGTCAATCAAGAGTGCTCCTAGACGTTTAATGAGGGGCATGATGGACTTTCACCTCGTTGCATAATTAGTCCTGAAATTGTTAGAAGTACCTGTATTTAGGGACGGAGCGACAAATTTTTCAAATCAAAGACATGATCTTCCGGCGCTGTAGAACAAAGTCTCTACTACGAATTAGTAAGCGTCGATGTCGCTGTAGCTAGATCAAGTGTGGCGACAATTACACTTTGCTCTAAAGTATTAAAGTACCATTTAGACTTTGAAGGGATGTATTAAAGGAATGTACTAAAGTACCATTTAGACTTTGAAGGTGATTCTAAATTGACTTTGAAGGGATGTTCTAAAGTACTAAAGTACCATTTAGACTTTGAAGGGATGTACTAAAAGTACCATCTAGACTTTGCTCTAAATTGATTAATAACTGAAAAAGGATGTACTAAAGTACCATTTAGACTTTGAAGGAGATTCTTTGTATTCTCATAAGGAATGGAACCATTTCTTCCGGCACTATAATTCCGTCCCCTGATAATAAGGAAATTCACAACAGTAATCGAGGATCAGTGTCCCATTCCATCTCTACTTCCTTATCAAAGCATGCTAAAGCTCTATTTAGACCAAGGGATTTTTTCCATGCGTTTTTTCTGTAAAAGAAAATAATTTGATTCCTATAAAATTTCGGCGTTTCAAAAAGGTTCTAAATTAAAATTTTCTGATAAGCCCACAAGTCAATGGCTAAATTATTTTTCATTATTTTTGTCCTTTTCTCCTCTTCTTCTCCTACCTTCCCTCCTCGGGCTTCCCCGATCTCTTCCTCTCCCCCATCTCCAGCTCTCCCCCTCTTCTTGGCCCGAGCAGGACGGCGTTCCACCTCCTACCCTCCTCTTTTCCCGCCCGCGCCGTCCCTTCCTCCGCGGTAGCCACCGCAAGCCCCGCGCGACGCACACGTCGGTGGTCCACGTCAACCAAATCGTCCGCCGCATCGCGTTCTCCCCGGCGAGCGTCTGCAGGCGAGGTCGCCGGCGAGGAGCTCGCCGCCCAGATCCGCCCAAGCCACCCTCCAGCTCGTCACAGGTGCTCCTCTTCCCCCATCCTCTCTCTTACGTCACATGGGGGGGCTCCGGCGGGTCGCGGCTGTGCGGTGGGCGAGCTCGCCTCCCCGATTCGCCGCCGGAGATGTCCTCCCGCCACAACCAACCGCCGGATAGGGGAGGGGATGCATCCCTCCATTTGAGGTAGAGGGGGCTATAGGTGGAGACTCGCTATAGGTGAGGGGATGCATTCCCTTTATTTGAGGGAGGGGGCTGAGTTTGAGTATTTACCTAAGTTAAAAATTTAGGTATTGGGGGTGAAATGAATGAGCTGAATGGTTGATCTGTTGGAGACCTCTCAGTTACCTGCTGTTTTTTTTCCCGGTATTGGGGATGATTTGAGTAATCTGTTGGAGATGGGCTATTTGTGTTCGGATCTGACTACATGCATGATAACTTAAGAGTTTGCGAAAAATATTGGGTTTTTATATGTGTACATCCATGTCCTATACTGGGTCCGCCACTAGGATTGAGAAATGAGAAGTTGGTACTTGCTTCTGATCTGGCAGGGGAACTTCCCCTTTCCTCAAAATTGTAATGCTTAGGCTTTGCTGCCTTTTTTCTTGTTGATCAAAAAAGTTGTTTCCTAAACATATCCATTGTCATACATGCCTTCGTTCACTGGGTGTGGGAAAGACACTCCAGGGGTTCAGCCCTTGTCATTGCCAGAATGCAGAGTAGATATGTTATTCCCTTAAATTAGCCTCAAATGTTATTTTGTAGTAATACATGTTTCTTGGTTGTATAAATCTGAATACTGAAGAGTAACGTCGATAAGAAGATTTAGCCCTTGTCAGAGCATCTCCAGCAGTCCCCCAATACAACTCCCCCAATAAAACAGTATTGGGGTAGCCCAATATTATTATTTTTTGGATTATTGGGGGAGATGCATGGTTTTTGAGGCATTGTGGCGATACGCGGCGCCCTACCCCCCTCACAACGCCTATAGGCGGACGCCTAGGCGACGCCATATGCACATTTTAGGCGCCATGAAAGCGGTTGTATAAGCTAGAATTATGGATACTAGTGCAGCACATACATACCTTGTTTATTCCCAATTCTTGAGGACAGTACATACTAGTACAGCTAAGAGAGTACTACTAATCAGTAAGTATTATACTAATCAAAGGAAAAAAAAACTTTTACTTTGTGTTCTGTAAAAGTGTAAAGATTAAAGAAAGAACCCAAACAGATATTATACTAATCAAAGAAAGATCCTTGTGCTTTCTGTTATGTAATGGTCAAAGAAAATAACAACCCAAGCACAAGCAGGCTTAGTCTACTCCGTATGTGGCTATGTGATAGGCCAATAATATAATATAAAAAGCAGCACACTGTATTCAGAGCAGGAAGGGCGGGCCTGGTGCAAGCGGTAGAGTCTTACCGCCTGTGACCGGAAGGTCCCGGGTTCGAGTCGCGGTCTCCTCGCATTGCACAGGCGAGGGTAAGGCTTGCCACTGACACCCTTCCCCAGACCCCGCATAGAGCGGGAGCTCTCTGCACTGGGTACGCCCACTGTATTCAGAGCAGAGTACACCCACCGGTATGAGCAAAGGCAGAGCAAACAGATATGAAAATCGGCAGATAGCTGGGAGATTTGGTGAGCCAAAACACGAGAGGAGGTAGGGGGCGTACAGGTGCAGGCAGACTCGAGCTGACGGACAGGTGCGGTGCGGATGGACCTGCGGACGACGATGGCGACTCGAAGCGGGCGGACCTACGGACGGTGACGGACACTCGAAGCGGGCGGACAGGTGTACTACGGATGGCCGACGGTAGCGGCGGCAGGTGCGGACGGCCAGCAGTGGCAGGGACTCGGGGAGGCGGACTTCAATAGAGGAGCACCCAAGCGAAGATGCAGGCCGTCGCCTCTGCTGCCGCAAAGAGCTCAAGTAGCACCCAAGCAGAGATGCAGGGCTGCCGCGTCTATTGCGGCCAAGAGCTCTAGTTCCGCCAGCCGCCTTCTCTTTTCCTTTCCCCCTCTCCGTGAAGTTGTGCGGGCTCCAAGCGGCCGATTTCCCGCTCAAAGAGCACATATGCGGTCAGTCCCGCCCTTTTCCCTTGTAGCGCGCTCGATTCCAACCCAATTTTCTTACCCACGGTCAATTTGGTGCCTACCGCTCGACTTCCCCTGTCCCCCGCACAGATTCATGTCTGGCGTCTGCCGCAGTCCTATAGGTGTCTGCCCAGTATAAGGCGGATGCCATACGCCTTGAGGTCGTGGTGACCCAGCACCCGCAGCACGCCTTGTCGCCTATGCGACCCCTCATAAACCATGGGGAGATGCTACAGCAGATCACCAATAATCTCCCCCAAAATATGGGACTCACTTGTCAGTTCCAATTTATTTATTTATTTTTCTTTCCTTTCCCCTCCCCTTGGTTCATCTTCCCGCATCGCGACCTGCATCCCGGCGCGGTTCGACGCCTCCTCCGCCGCAATCCGCGACCTGCATCGCCTCCTCCTCTGCCGGCGTCCGGGACCTCCTCTTTCGACCCTCCTCTGCCACTGCCGCTAGTGGAGGTCGTGCGATCCATAGGAAGTTGCCGTGGAGGTCGTGGGATCCAGTGGAGGTCGCCGTGGAGGTCGTGACATGCAGTGGAGGTCGCCGTGGAGCTGGCACGGGCTTGGCCGGCGGCGGCCATGGCCGCGGCAGCGGAGCCTGACTGTTATGCTCGACGCCATGGCAGAGAGAGAGAGGCGAGAGGGAGGAGGGAGGAGAGTGACGGTTGGAGTGTGCCCCAGCTTATTGGGGGAGATGCAACTCCCCCTCTTTGAGGGGAGAAGGGGTGTTTTTTGGTGGCCACGAAAAAAAGGGGAGTTATTGGGGGACTGCTGGAGAAGAAAAAGTGACATATCTCTCTTAATATGACAGTTTTATGGGGATGAGGGGTGGGATTGGGGGACTGCTGGAGATGCTCTGAGACATGTACATACTGTACATGCTGTACATGCTTTATGCTGTACATACTGTTATTCCCTTAAATTACTATTTTTACCAACATGTACATACTGTACATGCTTTATGGATGCCGTTGTCATTGCCAGAATGCACAGACTAGATCTGTTGTTCCCTTAAATTAGCCTCACATGTTTTTTTGTAGTAATACATGCTGCTTGGTTGTATAATCCTGAACACTGAAGAATAATGTTGATAAGAAGATTTAGCCCTTGTCATTACTATTTACCAACATGTACATACTGACATACTGTACATGCTTTATGCATGCCGTTTCCTTTATATTTGGTTCACAGATGCATAAAGTATTGTGTTAAATGTGCTTTTGTGTAGTGCAAATTTGAGCCCTGAACATAAATCTTAGTGATTGCCAATCAAATTTTGCAACCTGCACAGCTATGAATGACTGATTTGGACCACCATTTTCCCCACGATTCAGCAGATGCATTGGGTTGTTGGGCATTGATGATTCTATGCGGCATGGTAGTTATTATTGACTTTCCATTTTATTCTAAACAAATGAGAAAAAAGGGGCAAAGCTCATGCCATATGTTTGTTGCCGCCAGTTATTACTGAATGAATCAGCAATGCTGGTAGAAGTTTGTTTACTCTATGCAGTGTGAGATTATGATTATTTAAATTCGGTCAGAAAGCTGTATTGGGATCTACTCTCTCCGTCCCTAAATAACTATCGTTTTTGGCTTCCGAGAAATAACTTTGACTAATTTTATATAAAAAAATATTAATATTTATGGTACAAAATTAATATCATTGGATAGATCGTTGAATCTATTTTTATAGTAAATTTATTTGGAGATGCAAATGTTGTACGTATTTTTTATAAATCTAATCAAACTTATGGCACGGAAACAAAAAAACTATAGTTATTTAGGGACGGAGGGAGTATTTATTATTACTTTGGTGCCACATCAACACCATTTTTCTATATGCCTCGGCAGCATGGAATTTCCTATACGTTCTGATAAAATGTTAAATTATTGTTTAATTCATTGCAGTAGCAGTCAGTGGGGTTTCAACCAGACAACCACCATGAGTCTTGCTTGTCTTGTATGCCATGGCATGAGCAGCCCCTCGCACTCCCTTAGAAGCTACTCAGTGTCAAGTTCAGAGGAGGAAAGCCGATGTGGAGCTGCTGTTGCCTGCTTAGCTCGAAGAGTGACACCAGCTGCAACTTCTGCTAGTGTTGGGACATCAAAAGTGACCCCCTTTCCTCCCATGGTGAGTGGTCAAGTTGGTACAGAGGGCACTCCTCGGCTTCAACGCAGCCGTGCTGTGTCCAGGGACCTTGTTAGAGATTGGAACTTTGACGAAGTAATTGTTGCAAATTAGAGTAGCCTTCAACAGTTGTCAGCTGGACTTGTGCTCTACTTATCAGGGAGGAGATTCCTTCATTTGATGTAAAATTTTTCATAGTAGACGCCTGAAAGTCCATGTTACTATATATCAATACTTAATCACTTGATGAGAAAACCCTCGAGAGGGATGGTACCTTTCAGGAGCAATATTTCTATTGTTGCCGTTCTATATGATCGTGTACCTGTGTAGCTAGGATAAATGTTCTGAGTGTCTTTTCCTATTTTCAAACATGTATAAGTTGCCATGTACCTTTATGTATATTATGAATGAATCCAATTTCCGACCTCGATCTTGTATAGAAAACTGAAGTGATGTTTGGTGTATTGCGCTTGATCTCTTTCTAGGTCTACATTTTGTCTGTCTCTTCGGAGACATCCGATAAGTCTACATTTTGTCAGGCAATCAGGCTTTGACATGTTGAGTCCGTATTATCTGCTGTAACTGTAACCCTCTATGGTTACTCAGCACAAATGAAGGCAGAAACAAAGCTTCTGAGCTGGACTTCCTGAATGGTTGAAATGGAGATATACCATGGGATCTTCTCCCGCATTTGATCATAGAAACACAAACGGGGCGTACATCTTCTGTCTTATCACAGCTTTACACACTGGCACTCTGCATCTCCACTAACCCTCTCTTTCCCGGGATTGATGTTGAGCCGTGGCAATACAATTTTGTTCACCTGGAGTTCTCGATTCAAATCTTGAATCTTGATGTGCATTACGCGCATGGCAATACTTGATAAAACTTGTTGCCCTTTTTTTTGCCGGTGTACTTGTCAACTTGTGTATACGGGGGAATTTTTTTTTTCCAAAACCTGTTCCTAAATTACAATTTGTTTCACAGAACATGTGTCATGTCATGGGTTCTTCGGTTCTTCCATGTGTTTTCCATAAGAGACTACATAAATGGACGCACTTGTACATGAGAAGTTACTTATCACTTCATGTAAGTTTGAGAACTATCTAAACAAGTAAAAACACTACAAATATTATGAAACATTCACGATTCAAGTTGTCAAAATAAAGATATGTTTTCCATTTCTATTCTTGCAGGTAAAAAAAACCCATTGCAGAGTTCATTTATATTATAGCAAGTATAAATTCCAAATCTTCAGATACAAACCAAAGCCAAATGATAGTAGAAACACTTTTCCCAAAAAATGAGAAGCCTTTAGTCCACAACTGATTAGCGATAAGTTGGTTTTGTTAAACGGCAACAGGGGGCTTGAGCAGAGCCATCGCTTCTTTTATCTTTCCCATGGCAGTTTGCAGTGTCGACATAGCTGCAGCGTATGAAATACGAACACCCTTGTCATCGCCAAATGCATCCCCAGGGACAAGTGCAACCTATAGTGCAATCAACAATAAGCACTGTAATGTTCTTGTATCTTATACTGGTGTTCCCAAAATTGAACTTCTTACCTGTGCCTTTTCCAACAGGAACAAACAGAGGGACTCAGAGTCCTTGATGGTACCAAAACCTTCCACCTCAGACCCATAGTACGAGCTGAAGTCGATAAATAAATAGAAGGCTCCCTGTAAATTTGAGAGCTTAGATACTCTCCTGGTGCATGTTATATATTCTGAATAAGTACTGTAAACATACCTGAGGTTCCGATATCTTTACTCCTGGCAGCTCCCTAAAGCTTCTTACAAGGTAATCACGACGCTCCTGGAATGCTTTGACCATGGTTGATACTGCTTCACCACCAGCAAAACCTAGGTTCAAAGCTGCAAGCCCTGCCTTCTGTGATATACTACTGGCCCCAGAGGTGTACTGAAGTAAACAGGGCACTAGCATCAGGGCTCAGTGTGATAACGAACTCAAGAATTTCAAGTCAGTTTCTACAAAATCCCAAGATTATGTCATAATGACACAGCACTCACAATGAGAGGTGCATCATAGAGGTTGCAGTCCTTTTAATTAATATAGATGGTTGGCAATATGATGTTAGTATGTCAATGTATTGGTGAACTAAACATAAAAATAATTATATTCTCATGCTGAAAGTCAGTATGTAAACACAATAAGGAAATAAGGTTCTTTGGTGAAATGATCCTTCATTTTATAAGATTAGCATCGTCACAAAGAAAGGAACAAAAACAACCAAAAATTGGTTATAGCCTGCAATTGTAAGTGTGAGGAGAAAGAGAGTAAGAATAAAATCAGCTAATATTTCACTGCATATCATTTTTAACGAGTACCCACCTGGCTTTGGATCTTTCCACAGGCCGCGACGAAATGTTTAGGGGCAGCTAAGTATCCGAGTCTCCAGCCAGTCATAGCAAAAGCCTATAAGAATATAGATCATTTAGATATTCAAAATATTAGTTGGGCATGCATATGGTCTATAAGAATATAGATCATTTAGATACTCAAAATATTAGTTGGACATGCATATGGTCTTGAATATAGCATAATGCAATGAACAATGAAATCTGCTTCTTCATTTATCAAGTATTCAAGTTCCATATGCCATTTAATTATTTTCTGAAAAATTCAGGCCCTATGTGCTATTACAGACGGACCCTTACAACCCTTTAGATTCACCCACAAAAAAGAATTAAAAATAACAGCCAGCTAACTACCTTAGAAAATCCATTCACAGTTAACGTTCTTTCCCACATTCCAGGCAATGAAGCAAAGCTTGTGTGTTTAGCAGGTTGATAGATAATATGCTCATAGATCTCATCAGATAAAACCTGGAAAGGAAACAATAATAACATGGTACATCATTAATCAAGGTGGAGTTTTGATGCAGGGTACCAACTCTAAAATAATTGAATTGAATATAATAAGATCATAGTGCCAACTAGGAGCCTAGGATGCTTTCGGACTATAGCAGCAATCTCCTCAAGCAACTCCTTAGGATACACCGACCCTGTTGGATTAGATGGAGAACAGAGAATCAAGATCCTTGAATTTTCATTGATCACTGAGGCAAGTGACTCTGGCCTTAGGAGGAAATTGTCTGATATGCTTGTAGGGAGAATAACTGGCGTTGCACCAGCTAGTCTAGCCATCTCAGGGTAGCTGACCCAATATGGAGCAGGTATCAAAACCTACGATAAGATAGCAATTCATTATTTTTGGAGAACACAATGCAGAATGTTCCAGAACAATAAGCGCCACAGAATTATAACAGCTTTGTTTCATCCGGATTAAGAATATACATACGTGCAATTAAACTAAGAAGAATAAAGCAATCACCTAGGCTCCTAAAGATTACCTTCCACAACCTCCTCCCTAAAGTACATCAAGACAGAAGGACCCAGTGCCGCTCCTTTTATGGACATTTCAAATATTAATGTTATTATGTAAGATCATTCCTCCTAAATTTCAAGTAGACAGATAATAACAGTATGTGGACACAATTCTTACAGGGTTTGTATGATTCAGCCTAAGCTATATATATATTCACAGCATAGAACATGGAATTGGCAGAATTCTCAAATTATGGGAATAACTTCTTCTGCACTAGGGGAAACCAGATACAAAGCAAGGACCCTAAGAATTTTGAACATTCCTAAATCAAAGCAATTAGCTAGGTTGTAGAATTTGCAGTATCAAGAGTAAGGATGCGTCCAAATAATAATTAATTATCTGCAACAGATGAGCATATGCTGCTCTTATCATGGATACCTAAACGATTGACATGGAGTGATATTTAAGAAAATTCCTCCTAAAGAACTAGTTAGAGAGCTGAGAGCTTTACTTCATCACCAGGTGAGCAGACAGCAAGCACTGCTTGTGTAATGCACTGCTTGGCTCCATTGCTTACTAGCACCTGATCGGCGGTGTATGATAGACCATTCTCCTCTGCATATCAAAAGCCAACATTAGTCGTTAAATTTCTTAACCGATCTGACAAATCAGGGAACGAGGAATCCATCCGCACACACCCTCAAGCTTTTTGCAGATAGCCTTCCTCAGCTCCAGAGTTCCGGCATTAGGCGTGTATCTTGTAGCCCCATCTCTGATGGCATTCATCCCAGCCTGGACCCAAGCAACAAAGAAAGATATTCAACCTACCTTCCTACAACTGCTACTAATGTCAACAAAATACATTGCTCTGAGGCACTGAGCTCTGGCCTGAGATTCAGAGTTGCTATGATCCAAACGAAAATACTGTTACATAATTCGGCAAAACAAATTCATCGTGAAGGTATTTGCAATTAAGCTGGCTAGCACTTTCACCTAACACCAGGAGGATACACATTGCACCAAGATCCAAACTAATCAGACAGCCGTTCCTGTTTTCTCTCTCTCTCTCCCCCTGGTCCCTTCCCTGCGCAAACGAACCAATTAAGAAGGCCGCTCTCAATTCTCACCTCGGCGATCACAGCCGGCGTGTCGAAGTCGGGCTCGCCGGCGGCGAGTCCGATGACTGGCACGCCGGCCTGTCGCAGCGCCGTGGCCTGGTCGGTGATGGCCATGGTCTTGGACGGCCTGAGCGCGCTCACCCGCGGGCTGATGGTCGTGTCAATCGCTTCCGCCCGCACTGTCACCATCCTGGCCCTGGACTTCTGCGATTCTCTGGCCCTGCGAATCAAAGACATGAGCAGGAGCAGCCTTTACCGACGGACGCCGACGACGCGGGAAAGGAAGGTTGGCAGATTGCTGCAGGTCAGGCGCTCACCTGGGGAATGACACGGAACCAGTGCCAGGGGAGGCTTTTGTGGGGAGGTTGAAGGACGGGGTGGAGGTGGAGGAGGAGGGGGCAGAGATGGAGGAGAAGGATGCCATTGGAGCTCCGGCTGCGGCTCTTGCTCGTTGGCTGGTGGCGCGGTTCTGCGAGGTTGTTGGGCTACTGGGTTATACTGCTCCGCTTGGGAAGGCCGGAAGGGGAAGGTGTGGGGTGTGGTAGGTGGTGGTCGCCGCCGGGGACTGGTGCTGCGTGCTGGGCTGCTGGCTGCTGTCCTGTCCTGGCTGCGCCTGCTGGGTTGGTGTCACAGCATCTCCAAGTTTACTATCCCAACTTAGCATTCATATAATTTTGATAAAATAAGAAAAAATAGCCTCCAATAGTTTGACAAAACAACTTAGCATCAATAGCAACTTGGTAAATCTTCTCTCCGCGCGCGCAAATATACGCGCGCGTATACGGCTTGGCATCAGGGGCTCTTCGTTCGTTTAGCGGGGCTCTTTGTTCGCTTAGCGAGGCTCTTCGTTTTGTTAACGGGTTTTTTTATTTTACCAAGTCAAAAATGGCAAACTCTTGGAGATGGATTGTTTTTTTACTTGATATATAATTTTGGGAGTTATCAAATCACAAGATTTGTAAGTAAAATTTAACAAACTCTTAGAGATGCTTAAAAAACGGGATGGTTTGGTTTGGTCGGCTCGTCTCCATTTTTCCAATTGGATAGGAAAATTAGGGGAAGTTCATCTCCTTTGAATATCCTTTTTATACGAATCCCTGTAAAGTTGATCCAAGTCTGAACAATTGATTTCTCTTTAGTACTTATCACCTTGGAATCTTATAGGAAATTCAGACTTCAGAGCATCCAAATCCCTCCGTTTAAACTCACCCAAGGATCAGGTGGGATTTCTCCTCGGAGACAATTCTAGCACGTGTCACAAAATTCTAGCCATCTAAAACACACAATTGAACAGCACCATCAAACTTCAGTCCAGCACTTCACACAGACGATAACAGATATCGGAAAGGCTAGAGCATCCACTGTACTTCCAAAGTCCCAACAGGAGAAGAAAAAGAAACCAAACACATTACAAATAGCTGTAATGGATGCTGATCAGCAAAGTTGCTAAAACATGAAAGCATGTAATCCGAGCATAGAATTTCATATCATAGTTCTATCACCATTCTGCACAGTGGATCATGTAAGTTCTATTTCTCATACAACACAGCTCCTGCATAACCAATTTTTCGAAGAAGTTGCGTGGGCGAATTAGGCTACAGATATTTCTGGCACACATCCAAGAAAAGCCGAAACGCTAGTGAGGATTCTTTTCTCCTCCATCTTTTTTGCTCATTCTCACAAGGGGAAACCATGGTGGCCCAAAATTGGAATATAAATGAGTCTAGCAGAAACTGAACTATATGCTATCAACACGTGAATAGCAAAAGCCAAGCTATGGTAGATTCTTGAATCTTGACGTTATTAAGAGCGGAGCATCTTCACTTTGGGCCCAGACTTCTTCATTTGCCGAGCCCTTTCCTTTTCCTCTTTCTTCCGGAGTGCCTCAGCGCTTAGTTTGGCATCTGCCTCCTCCATGAGTTTCTTCTTTTCAGACTTTTTCCTTTGCAGGGCCTCCTGCCTGGCACTCTGCAGTTCCCTGAAAGCCTCCTGAGCGGCCTTTGTTCTAGCTCCATCAGTTTTTGAGCGAGCCTACAAACAACATAGAAAACTTTAGACATATAATTGGAACATCATGATGAGCTCTACGAAGAGAAAAAATGGATACTCACATGAGAGCTGAGCTTATAACGCCCAACCAAATCAATGTAGTATGGCACAAGAGCAACCAATCTTGTCATCTCTGACATGTTGCTTGCATCTGGCAATACAAACTTGAATGTAAGGACCTTCTTGTAGGATCCTGCCAACTGGTCTGAAAGATGAAGCGAGATGAACCACTTTCCAAATTTCTCAAATGCCTTCTCACCAAGAACCTGGAGATGAAAGAACCATTAGAAGCAGGGTAAGGCACACTATATACAAGATAAACTAAGTCAGTCGCATTGGCATATTGATCCATTCAACCTAGCTTAAGCTTAGGTCCTTGGTCTTAAGACAGTGTCCAAGTCCAACTGAATAGCTTTCTTTTGGTCCTAGTTACTCCCATTTAAGTCCTAACCCAAAAGATCAAGATGAAAGTGCCAGTAAATGATTCATAATGTTTAGAAACAGACATTGGCCTTATCTTATCAGACATACTTACTGTTTTACAATAAGCACTGCAGATCTAATCTAGCTAACGATAGATGTCACGATAACCTAAATTGGACCTTGCCCAAATCCAATCATCTCACAGGCAATACCACTGATCTCAAAACTGCTTTATATATTATATAAGGGCCTGTTTGAATGGCAGCGTGGGAAAGCTGCCTGAGCCAGGCATCGCTCCCAGGTGTTCGATTTCGAGTGCCTGGGGTCGGATGCGCTTGCCTGGCCGGTGCTCCTAGGCCAGGGCTGCATCCAAACACGCCCTAAGAAAGTGAAGCTACTTCAATCGTTAAAAATCTCTAGCATGAATGAACTTGATTATGGAAGCAACAGCAAATGTCCCAGTACGTTCTTTCCTTGTTCAAACCAGGCTTTCATCAATGTCCAAAAGGTGGCAGAGCAAGAAAAAAAACGAAGACAAAAATAAATCTCTAAGACTGAAGAAATTCAGGAGAGAAACATGACATGTTTCAAATTCAATAAAAGGTAGTTAAAATCTACCAACATGCTACTGCACATCTGCATTTATACAATTCCATAATTTAAAAAGGCTATCCATTTCATAACTTCATGGTATCCCATTGCCTACTATTAACAAAATACTACCTATAAAGAACAATAACAAAATAACTTATCCCATGGACAGTAGGAACTACTGTTGATAAGCTTTCCATCAAAGCAACAAGCTGAGCTCAGTTTGCAATTCAAAATGCAAAAAAACTTTAGATTGAATACAAGCAATCAAGCATACTTCTCTGTTCTCTAATGTCAGCTTTTAACAGCATAAGTTCATAAAAATGTGAGCCTACCTCAAACCACACAAATTTCAGTAGTTCTCCTTCTGAATTATATTTTTAAAAATTCAGCAGTTAAGATCCGCCTTTATAAAGTTCATTAAATATTGAAGCAGCAACTTAGTGCAAGCATTAAGTTAATAATCTTATCCAAATGAAGCATTTACTTTAGTGAATCCACAAAACCAAAATTCTGTACTAGTTCGCTCTCACCTGATCAAGCACAGCCTCAGTGATCATATCCCCAGCAACCTCCTTAGACTCGGCTACCACAGCAAGCTCATCCGACACCCACTTCCTTCCAGCAGGTGCCGAAGTGAGAACGTTGGCAAACCTTTGCAGATCCCTCTCCTCTTTCTGCATCGTCTTGCCCGCCTTCTTCCTGGCCACGGCCAGAACCACATGGTCCATGGCCTCTTCGTTCATGACCACCTCGAACGTGATGGTGTCCTTCCTAGGGAAGACCAGCTCGACGAACTTTGACAGCAGGTCATGCCGTGCACGCATCTCCATGGTGGCGAGCATGCCCTGGCAGAAGCGTCTCCCGCTGGCATAGAACTTGAACACGTCCTGCCCCTCCTTGAGCAGGAGTGGCGTGTCCTTGCCGTCGCCTGTGCCAAGAAGGCTGAAGTTCTTGTCGAAGATGGAGTCCCTGGTGGCGAACTTGGTGGCCCAGGCCAGCGCGATGTTCTCGTTTTGCCGCTTCCCAGTGAAGTAGTTGAGCACGAAGCAGATCAGGAAGCTGACGCACGCGATCTCGACGGAGAACGCGCGGAGGAGCTCAGCCGGGGTCCTCTTCGCGGCCGGCGCCGCCTCGGCCGCTGCCTCCGCGGAGGGATCTGACGGGTCGGCCTCGGCCGGCGTGGCGGAGTCGTCGGAGGGGATCGCTTCGGGCACGGGGATGCCCTCGAACTCGTCCTCGTCCCAGAGGTCGAGCGCCGGGGTGGGGTCCCGAGTCGCAGGCGTAGCGGGGTTAGGGTTCGGCGCGGATGTCGTCGTGACGGGAGGTGAAGGCGCGGAGGTGGAGAGGGAGATGGGCGGAGGGGGCGGGAGGTCGACGCCGTCCAGCCCCTCCTCGTCATCGTCAGCATCGAGGCCACCGGCCGCGGAGGGAAGGTCGTCGGAGTCGAAGCCCTCGAAGTTGGCGGCAAAGGAGAGGGAGATGGTGAGGGCGAGGAGCAGCAGGATGAGGAGGGTTGCACGCGGCTGCCGGAGCCGGATCCAGCTCGGCGCCGCCATAGCTGAGGAGGCGGAAGGGGAGGTGTGCAGTGTGCTGGGGAAGGTGGGGGTGGGGGCATAAACGGGGGAAGGAGGGAGGATCCACTATGCAGGACAGCAGGAGCCGTCCGACTTGCTAGATCGTTGGGATCTGAGATTCAGTTTTTTTCCCCTTCTTTTGGCAACGATGGAGAAAGATGTTGCACAGAATCGCAAAGAAAAAGAGAAAGATGTTGCACATTTGCATAGAAAAAGTTAATTAGATCTATGTCTTTTTATAAATTCGATGTTTATAAGATGCACTACTATTCATCTAATAGTGATTTTGCAATTATAATTTTTCTGGTACTTGATATACCATTTTGTACACACACGAAATTACCCCTATCTCCTATCCTCTCACACTTGCTGACACATGAGGCCCACTCGTCGCACTCCACGTACTCTCTCCCCCCTATCTCTGTACTCTTCTCCATCTCCGTCGATGAGTGCACGGGTAGGGGGACCGACCGTCACCGCCGACGAGTTCGTGTACAGGTGGGGCGCCGCGGGCTAGCGCGTAGGGCCACTAGCGTGCATCCGCTGCTAGGCTGCTACGTCGTGCGGGCATGCTGGGCTACAAAGAACATGTATTCACCATGATGGGTTGGCCATGAAGCGTAGTGTCGGGTATCGATATTAGGGATACCCAAAGTAAGAAAGTTAGCGCCCACGCTGACTCCCCCGGATGGCTCGAGACGTATTAAAAGGTCTCGCCCGACCCCAAGGCCGCGGGCTCCGTCTCGCCCGACCCCTTGGGTACGGGCTCCGTCTCGCCCGACCT